CACAGGCAGGGTTCTGCCCTCAAGGAATTCACAACCCGGCCTGGGGATACTGGAAACAGTGGTTAGCTGATGTTGTTAGTGCTATAACTGAGCTGAAGATAACAGGGACCTAGAGAGGGAAGCGAATAATTCTGTTCAGGGTGGGATGAGAGTTGAGGAGGGTTTCATGAAGCAGTGACAAGTGAGTTGGGCCCTCAGAAATAAGCAAAAGGAGGGATAAATAAATAGAGCACAGAGGATTTTTAGGGCAGTGAAACTACCCTGTATGATACTATAATAGTGGATACATGTCACTACCTTTGTCTAAACCCATAAAATGCACAATACCAAGAGTGAACCCTAATGTGAACTACGGAGTTTGGGTGATAATGATGTGTCAATGGAGGTTCATTAATTGTAACAAATAACCACTCTGGTGGGGGACATTGATAATGGGGTTCCTCTCAATTTTTCTGTGAACCTAAAATGTATCAAAAACTAGTCTTTAAGTTGGTCTGAGTGTTGTGGGTTATTGTTAAGCTGATTTAACAAAAATTAGTCTTTAATAAAAAATTTAGCCCCAAACCAAAATAGAAATTAAAAAGCCATTTTTTTTAAGCAGAGAAGAGGGATTAGGGAGCTGCCAGACAGAGAGCTGAGCACGGCCTGATCTGAACACAGGGCACGGCCCACCTAGTGACAGCCAAGTCAACAGTGTGGCAGGCAGAGTGGCTCCCCTAGGTGCATATTGGGTGGTGGGGTGGGTAGTGAGACAAGAAAAACTCATTTCAAGTGCTATGCAAGCTGACAGAGAAACAAACGTACTACGAGGAAGTCATCTTGTTAAAGAAGAGACTCCCCTCTACCCTCCGACCACAAACTTAATTTGGCTTCCTTTTGGAACTTGGAATTCCAACTTGAACTCATTATTGAACTTCAGCTTAATTGTTGTCTTCTCTGTGAAAGCATCCCTGAAACCCACAGGTGGAATCGGTCCCTCTCACCTGTTCCCATAACTCGTTATTCTACTATCACTTGCCATCTTGTGTTACAGTGAGCCGTTTACCTGGGCTTCCCCTCCAAAACTGTGAACACCTCAAACTTGGATAAGGCTTCATCTGTATCCTCAGCAGCCAGCCTTGTTCACAGCACATTGTACCACTCAGAAACATATGTGTGGAATGAGTGAATGTGACATAGACAAGCAAGCTTGTGGTGAGAGTTATCATGGAGATACTCCCGGCTCTTGTGGCAGAGAAGGGGTATCCTTCACAATGAGGCCTGGAGAAGGGCTACAGTGACTTTGGAGCTAAGTTTTGAGACTAATCAGGTCCGAGGTACAGAGAGAATGTGCAGAGTGCATTTAGGGAATCACAAGTGAGACTAAAGAATGGAGTGAAAGGCAGGATGCAGTGAGAGATGAGGCTGGAGAGAGGGCAAGTCTCAGGTCCTGTATGTCAAACTAAAGAGGTGAAGGGGAGTCACTGAAGGGCTTTACGTGGGGAAGAGATCAGATCAGATCAGATCTGGGCTTTAGAAAGCTCACTAATGTGAGTACTAATGACAATAATAATGACAGCTTAACCTTTATTTATTAAGTACTTATGTCTCAGATACAATGCCAAGCATTTTATAAGGGTCACAGCTTGGATTTGAACCATGGCAATTTGACATCAGAGCTGATGCTCCAAACCACCAGGTTATGGTGCTTGGACTGGAGGCACAGAGATGTTAGGGGACTGTTGAAGGAATTCAGATGAAAAATAAAGTGCAAAACCCCCAAAAAAGAGTGTAATCATGTCCTTTGCAGCAACATGAATATAGCTGGAGGCCATTATCCTAAGCAAATTAATGCAGGAACAGAAAAACAAATACTGCGTGTTCTCACTTATAAGCAGGAGCTAAACATCAGGTACTCATGGAAATAAAGATGACAATAGAAACTGGAGACTGTTAAAGGGGAGAGGGAGGAAAGGCATGAGGGCTGAAAAAGTAACTCCTGGGGAGTATGCTCAGTACTGGATCACGACTGGATCATTTGTACCCCAATCTTCAGTATCATGCAACGCACCCCAGTGACGAATGTGCACATGTACCCCCTGAATCTAAAGTAAATATTGGAAAAAAATTAAAGCGCATAATCTGTCATGAAATTAAGGAGAAAAATGAAAAAAGGAAAAGTGCCAAGGCTGTTGTATTAGGAAGGGTGGGTTACAGGTAAAAAGGAGAAAAAATTCTTAGGATTTGGAGACCAACTGGATGTGGAATAAGGGAGTGGGAGAAATGAAGACGTCTTCCAAATTTCTGCCTAAAGGATCAGTATGGATATTGACAGTATTCACTGAGACAAAAGAAGAGTGGAATAGGCTGGGCACGGTGGCTCATGCCTGTAATCCCAGCACTTTGGGAGGCTGAGGCGGGCAGATCATTTGAGGTCAGGAGTTCGAGACCAGCCTGGCCAACATGGTGAAATGCTGTCTCTACTAAAAATACAAAAATTAGTTGGGTGTGGTGGTAGGCACCTGTAATCCCAACTACTGGGGAGGCTGAGGCAAGAGAATTGTTTGAACCTGGGAGGCAGAGGTTGTAGTAAGCTGAGATCAGGACACTGCACTCCAACCTGGGCAATAGGGCGAGACTCAGTCTCCAAAAAAAAAAAAAGTTGGATATTATTGTGATGAATTTATTTTATTTTTTCTTTTTCACTGTCTCTGAACAACTTTTAAAGAGAAAGGAATGAGCTCTCAAAAAGACCACAGCGATGCTTGTAAAATTGCTCTATCTAAACTCTATACAAGCAACAAGACACAGAGTTCATTAAGAATACAATTTTCCATTTGGCAGTAGTTCCAATGTTAGATAGACTGACTCTGATGCAATAATAAACACATCTTATGAACACCAAAGGTAGGCTTTTCAATATTTTCTCTAAAAAAATTAGACTGTTTTCAATGTCTCATTTGGTCAAAAAGAGGGGTTATTAAGTTCATTACCAAAGGTGTTATTTTTGGCCGTATACTTTTAGTGTGGAATAGTTGTCATAGAGGAGATTTCACTCTTTGCCAGAACAGGACAGTGATGAGAACACTGTATCCAGGGCAACCATGAGTTCAGCCTTTTCAGTCCATAAATAATCATTCCTCAGCTTGCCCTTTGTAATGCTGGTCTCTGAGCTACTTCATGACAGAATGAGCTCGATCAGGAGGCCACTGTTCTCTTTCTTATTTGCAGTTTAAATGACTGCTGAAAAATATTTTACAAGAAAGGCAATGTTTCAATTCTATTGCAAATTGTACTGGCAAAAATCTGCAACTGACTCTTATGATCTTAGCTTGGCTACAAGGATACTTTAACCACAGTAACCAGAAGTCAGATATTTTTCTGGCTGGGTGGATACTTTTTGGCACCAAGGCTGTCAGAAGTGTTATGTATGCTTGATAGTTGTGTTTAACGAAAGCACAACTAAGGCAAGAGAAACCTGAAGGTATGCAACGTAGGGAAAAAGAGCACTAACATATAACTGATATCACCTTCCCTCCCCATCAAGCCAATTGGAATTTCTCCTCCATGAAGACTTGTGTAAGTTCTCCCCAGAGCACAGAAATCTCACCATCCACTGGATAGCCAGATATCCACTGGGTAACACTCATCTGACAACTGAGTCACCACATCGTAGTGGTCAGGAGCCCAGACTTGGGAGTCAGACCAAGTTAGGTCTGATTCACTTTACTCAAGAGTCTCCATTACTCAAGAGCTCTGCAGCAATGCTTACCACACAGTAGTGTTAAGGAGTAAACTAGATAACCCATGCAAGGCATTAGGTGCAACGGCCTCTGAGATTTCCAAGATCTACAAAGATGTCAGAGATGAGACCAGGAAAAAACTGGCTTTAAAATATGAAAAGTAAATCACAAAATTAATAGGTATTTAATTAAATACTTAAAACCTAACTTATCCACTGTCAACTACACTTCAACTCAATCTTTATATAGTTGTATATAAATGAGTAAAAGTAATATGGTTTTATAGTTCCTTTAAAAATTGTATAGCAAAAACATATTCATTTTTGGATGAAAGTATATTTTAGTCTGTTTGCTATGATATTGAATGTAGCCTTGTAAGTAAACGTTTCTTAGGCCTGTAGAGGTCTTAAAATGACTCTAGGTATTTAAAGAAATGGTAGCTCTAATTATCATTATTATAGCAATGATTTTATTATTCTGCTTTATGATATTTCTTGTGCTGTATTGAACCGTTTGATGAATGCTCTGTCTTTCCAATTAAATTGTAAGGTCCTTGAAGGCAGTATGATAGAGAATGGACTGAGTTAAAACAATGGGCTCTGCTCCGGGCTCTGCCACTGACCAGGTGTGGAAGCTTGGACCCAAGTTTTTCTTCACTTGAAAAACAGGAAGACTAAGACCTGTTTCAACTCCTCTGCCAGGCCATAGTGAGGGCAATAGGCCACACTGAAAGTACTTTAACTATGGAAACACATGGGAATATAAGCTTCTGAAGCATCCACAGTGCCTATCAAGGCCCTTCAGACACAGGGAGGAGTCAGTGAACATCTGGTGACTTCTACAGAAGGTTCTTTTCTGTCTTCATATCCAAGGAATACTTGTATATCTATAGTCTTTTCCTCTGTGTTCATTCATTTCACAAATATTTATTTAACAAATGTTGAGCCCCCTGTATGTGCCACATGGCTTATACTGGAACAGGGGATACAGTGGGACACCCAGTATCGATAGTAAAATTGTTCTTTTTGTTCTTTCAATGTGTGGTTTGATATATCATCATTTATACCTTCTCTGAAAATAAATAAGACAATTTAAGAAGACTATCCTTCTAATTTCTGTCCCTAGTTCTAAAACACTATTTCAGAATGGGCTCTAATTATTTCTCATAGGGAGTGTTCTCCTTTTGGTCCTGGCTTTTCCAGGCAAAGCTGGGATTTGTTAGAAAGAAACTTGCTCCTTGATAAGCAATGAGAGGAAGCTGCAAAGCTCAGGACTCACAGGTGGCAGGCAGGAGTTACAGGTGGTTGTGTCGTCACTGCTGGTACTTATGCTGACATTACAGTTGTCCACCTGGGATGCACTCAGGCCATGGGAGGTCCCAGAATCCTCCAGTTCTTCATTTTGTTGCCGCCGTAGGCTCGCCAGCATCTGTAACTCGGATTCACTCATCTGGCTGGGCTGATAGTTTCGCCAGTCATATTCCTGACCAAGAGAGAGGAAAATAACAAAGGGTCATTTGGCCTTTGTTAATTCTATGGCTACGAACAAATGCCACAGCCTTAACCCCTGCAGCAACTCCCCAATTGACAGAGGCCCAAATCCCTAACATGCCTCCATGCGGTGACTGCCCCATCCATTACACAGCCTGCTGTCCTTTTGTTCCTCACATGCTAGCTTCTCTGTCCTTCATTAAGGTTCTCAAAATCATCAAGTCCTGTCTGCCCTAGTCCTGTGCACATGCAAGTCCCCTCTGCCTCGTGTTCTTGCTAATGCTTAGGCTTCCTTCAGGTCCCCAATTATGTATCACTTCCTCAGGGAAGCCTTTTCTGACAACCATAAACTGGGTCAGCTCCTTTATGATACCCTCTCATAGAATCTTAAAATTTTCGCTTTTAGCATTGATCACAGTTGCAGTGATGGAATTGTTTCTGGAGTTTTCACGTTTGCTATGAGCTCTAGAAGAGCAAGTACCATGACTGCTCTGCTTTCACTGCCTTTCCAGGGTCTAGTGCCTTGTAGGTGGCCCAACCAGTTTTTGATCAACTAAACAAAAACTAACAATAGTTTTTTTTTTTTTCCGTAAAAATAATTTGCGATTAAAAAAGCCCAGTTTCTGAGGGAATTGATGATTTTCATCATTGTAAACATAATTACCAAATATATTGAACTTGCAGTAAGATTGAAAATGACTAGTATTGGTAAAAGCCATCAGATAAAATTTGAATGTAAGATGGTAAGCTGTAAGGTCTGAAAGCCTGGAGGATCTCATAGCTCCAACTGAGGTGGATTTACTACATATGTCATCTGTCAAGTACTTTTGGAAAAAGAATACTACTATAGATCTTTAGATGCTAGTATAAATATTATTTCACAGTACAGGTGGAAATTGGCATATAGAATTTTCAAAACTTTTCCATTCCTTTCTCTCTGACCTAAACTAGATTTGATAGCAAACATGAATTTCAGCATTACTAAAATATTAGCATCACATAGGAGCAGTGTGATTTAGATGCAGAACTGGCATATATCTTAAAAGCAATTTGAAAATTTTCTGGAAACACTGGTTGTACTAACAAGGATTTTTTCCCCAAGATACCCTAGAATTTTTAGATATTTATCTCTCTATATATACTTTCTTGGAGGACTCCCTGAGGCATCTACTGGCTTTTCTGCCTCATAATAATGTAAAAAGTTAAAAACATATTTTTGAAAAAAATTCTTGGAGTTCCTATGACATTAAATGCTTTACAATAAAGCATTATTATCATCATAATGTGGGGTTTATAAAAGCTTGTTATCTGACAATGTGATGTGGAGACTTCCTAAAAAGTTGTCAGTGGAAACTCAGTTAAATCCTTATAGTTCATGGCATGAGCAGCTTGGCACTATGAGAGGTCATGCAATCCTTAATAAGAGATTTCATGAGCATTTAATATGCTTTCAGAGTTCCTGGGGCAAAATAGGTATCACAAGAAGAAGAATAAAATTTATATCCCAATGAATAATGTAAAAATAAATAAGGAAATAGGAATAATTTAAATTCAAAAGAAGTAGTTTAGAGAACAATAAACCCATACAAAGATGTTCAACATCCTTGTCATTAAAGAAATACAAATTAATCATATGAAAAAATGCTCATCGTCACTGGTCATCAGAGAGATGCAAATCAAAACCACATTGAGATACCATCTCACGCCAGTTAGAATGGCGATCATTAAAAAATCTGGAGACAACAGATGCTGGAGAGGATGTGGAGAAAAAGGAACACTTTTACACTGTTGGTGGGAGTGTAAATTAGTCCAACCATTGTGGAAGACAGTGTGGCGATTCCTCAAGGCCTTAGAAATAGAAATTCCATTTGACCCAGCAATCCCATTACTGGGTATATACCCAAAGGACTATAAATCATTCTACTATAAGGACACATGCACACGAATGTTTATTGCAGCACTGTTTACAATAGCAAAGACCTGGAATCAACCCAAATGCCCATTGATGATAGACTGGATTGGGAAAATGTGGCACATATACACCATGGAATATTATGCAGCAATCAGAAATGATGAGTTTGTGTCATTTGTAGGGACATGGATGAATCTGGAGAACATCATTCTCAGCAAACTGACACAAGAACAGAAAATGAAACACCGCATATTCTCACTCATAGGCGGGTGATGAAAAATGAGAACACATGGACACAGGGAGGGGAGTACTAAACACTGGGGTCTATTGGGGGGAAAAGGGGAGGGCCAGTGGGAGGGGGAGGTGGGGAGGGATAGCCTGGGGAGAGATGCCAAATGTGGGTGAAGGGGTGAAAGCAAACAGAACACACTGCCATGTGTGTACCTATGCAACTGTATTGCATGTTCTGCACATGTACCCCAAAACCTAAAATGCAATAAAAAACTAAGAAAAAAAAAAAAGAAAGAAATACAAATTAAAACCACAGTGAGATACCTTCACACCCATTGGGATGGTTACAATAAAAAAAGAGACAATAACAAGTGTTGGCAAGGACGTGGAGAAACTGAAACCCTCATACAGTGTTGGCAGAAATGTAAAATGGTGCAGCCACTTTGGAAAACAGTTTGGCAGTTCCTCAAAATGTTAAACACGTGAGTTGCTGTGTGACCCAGCAATTCAGTCCTAAGGATAAATCAAGTGAACTGAAAACACATGTTCAAACAAAACTTGTACACAAATGTTCACAGTAGCATTATCCATAATAGCCAAAAAGCGAAAACAACCAAATGTCTATTAATTGATGAATGGATTTTTGTTTATCCACATAATGGAATATTATTCAGCCTAAAGAGTAATGAAGGGCTGGATGAACCTTGAAAATGTTATGCTATCTGAAAGAATTACACAGAAGGCCACATATTGTGTAATTTACTTTATATGAAATGTCTAGAACAGGAAATTCACAGAGATAGAAAGTAGATTAGAGGATGGTGGAGCTGGAGGAAAGGGAAATGGGAAGTGACTACTAGTGGGTATATGCTTTCTTTTTGGAATGATGGAAATACTCTGAAATTAGTGATGGAAATGTTCAAAATGATGGTTGGAGAATCTTGTGAATATTCTAAGGACTCCTGAATTTCATACTTTAAAAGAGTAAATTTTATGGCATACAAATTTTATTTCAATTTTTAAAAAGCAGGTTGGTAATCATATGTGAACATGAGAATACTAGCTGCTTGACTTTAGCTGTGGCAGTGAACAAGTGACTTGCTGTTCTTCAGTTTTTCAGTCAAGAAATGGGACTAAGAATTCTAATGTGTTACACAGGTATGTTAGTTGGCTTATCATTGCCAAACACACTTCTACAATGAAAAAGCAATTTTATTTTAATTTTCACTATTTTTCTTCTGAAGAAAGCTTTAAAATGTATGATTAAGTTATTCATTCAGTTTACTTATTTAATCTACAAGGCTGTACTGTGCCTGAAGAACAACCCTGGGTGCTAGGAGAGAAGAATAAGAGAGGATGTGGCAGTGGGTAAGCCAGAAAAATCTAAGCCTGGGCCTTAGTTCCACCACTTACCAGCTGTAAATGACTAGGAAAATTACCTAACCTCTCTATGCATCAACTTCTTCATCATGGGGACCACAATACACACCTCACAGGATTTTTGGTGAATTAAATGAAATAACATTACATCGAATGCTTAGTAGAGGCACCTGACAAACAAATATACTAGGAAGACTCCAAATGTATGATTTGTACCTTTAATGGAAACTGTTTGAATGTGTACTTTGTAATATATGTTTATTTATAAATTAAATATATGCACAACTATTTTAAAATAGTATGTAGAGTACAAAACATACATAAAAAATGGGAATTAAAATGGTTAGGATTAAAAAAAAGAAAATTGTTTCAAAGTTTTCTTCCTGAATCTGAAGGGGATGTCTTTGGTACACACTTTCAGGGATGAGCACAGCCCTTTTAAGATACCACTGAGTCTCAATCAGTACATATGGTCCCTGTTATTATTATTTTTTCCTCTCATTTCTCTGTCCCCCTCCTTCTAGTCTTTCATCCATTCTGTATTATGCTAGAAACTGGGAGCACACAGAAAACAAGATACACGTCTGTCCTCATGGAGTTCATAGTCTACAAAGAGAGACCTGAGAGATATAACTGGAAATCTAATGTACTGTGAGAAATACAACAGAGGTATGAGTAAGACACTTGAGGAATGAAGCACAGATGTGACTAAGTGACCAGTGGAATCATAGAATGCCTCACAGAAGCCTAAGGTGGCATTTGAAAGTAATTAAATTTGTTGACAAATGGAGTTAGTGGCCTTTGGAGGGACCCCACCACTGGCAGGCAGTATTGAAGCTGAGGCTGAAGAAATAGATGGCCGGGATATTCCCTATGTTCCATTGCAGTAATGGAAATAGATTGATTCATTAATTTATTCTGTAGAAACTTACTGAGACCCTATTACGTGCCAGGCACTGTTGATGGTACATTTGCTTAGAACTCTGCATTTACACGACTTTATTTCATACAACAATAAAATGTGTTTGACAACACTCTGGCAGGGGGCAGCCAAAAACCAGCAGAGAGAAGGAAGTAACTTTTTCCAGCATCACGAATAGAGCAAGCGGTGGTGGAGTCAGGTAATTAACTTAGTCCTCTGAAATGTTTTTGATTAGCAATCTCTTACATCATTTCAAAATCATCAAAAAGGCTAAATCACTTATTCGTTATTTTTAAGAAGCTTTGCAATAAAGTATTTGCATAAAGTGGACTCCAGCACAAGATGTCATCTAACTAAATTATACAACTGCTGAGAGGCAAAGTGGTTTAGTAATACCATCTCTGAAAGGCTCAAAATGTTATGTATAACTCAATTTCATCTCCAAATGTCTTTGTAGGAAAGGGGGGAGACATTATCAATCAGATTTGTCCTAGGAACGAGGCAATGGACTGAGGGCTATATACAACTCAGCTGTGCTCTGATTGGC